CTTCCATCCATTCATCCTTCCTTCCTTCCTTCTACCCACCCATCCATTATCCATGGCAATACCATAGTAAATAATCATTACATTTCTAAGATTATGACTCAGATCTACTGTTTCTCCATGTTCTTCCCCTTCACCACTCCTGCCTTGAAGAACTGATTGATGTCACGGATGACTGCTAGAGCTCTTTGTGTTTATTCAAGTAACGTTGAATGCTCTAAAGGGTCACTTTATTCTGATGCACTCAGAATGTGATGATAATTGTTGATTTTATTTGAGAACACCACCTCTTATCATGAGATGGGAGCCTTGGTGGTGCAGTGGTTAACCACGAGGCTGCTAATTAAAAGGTAGGCAATTGGCTACTTTGTTGAGAAAAATGTGGCAGTCTTCTTCTGCTTTGTAATCCCAGTGTGGAGTTATATTATGATCGACAGGGTCATGATTCGTTGCAGTCAACTTGATGGCAATGAGTTGGGCTTGGGTTTGGTTTTATCACGAGATGACCTCAGAACACACCCTTGCCCTCATTGTTCTGAAAGCTGAGTACTACACTTAGTTAATATAGTTCACATCACACACATAATACATTCCAGAATAAAGACTTAAATAGGTCAACATAACTGCAAACGATGTCTTTGAGTTAACATTTAAATGGGGCCCCTGATGTCCTCTCTTTTTGTTTTCTATACTTCTGCGTCATGCTTAAAGTAATTGGCTCAATCTTTACCACTATTGGCAAAATTATTTCATTTTAGTATGAAATAGAGCTAATTCACTAAACCTTAAAAATATACCTTTACTCATGCTTAGTCAAGGCCTTGTATAAACAGGTTTTTCCCTTAATTTATAAAAGTCATATTAAAATTAAAGAACATTTGGGAAAGAGAAAACAAAAGAAAATAGCTATCATTGTTCACTAGCAAACCATTACCATTACAACTTAGGTTTGAAACTTGTTATCGGTGGTAGAAGTGAACATGTAAATTTTTTTTTGTTTTTAACAAATGGAAATTTCTTTTCTCACATATAGCTTTATAGGGATGCGAGAAGTCCAAATTCAGGGTGCTCTTGGGCCATCTTCAATTTCCATGGCATGGTCTTCTCCATATCCTTGCCTCTCCCTTTTGCTTGCTTAAGCTCTTTTTAATTCTCAAAAAGAGATTGACTTAAAAAAAAAAAAAGAGAGAGATTGACTTAAAACACACCCTCCACTAGTCACATCCATTAACATAATACCACCCTTCCCAAATGGGATTATAACCATAGATACAGTGTTAAGATTAACAACAAAACTTGCTGCCATTTGGACGATGCTGACTCAGCAACTCTGTAGGACAGGCTAGAGCTACCCCTGTGGGTTTTTGAGGCTATAACTCTGTAAGGGAGTAGAAAGCCCCATCTTTCTCCTAAGGAATTGGTGGCTTCAAACTGCTGACCTTGTGAGTCCTACCCCAACACAGAACCACTGCGCCACCAGCGACCACTGAAAATTCAGGACATGTAATTTTGTATTCCTGCTTATTTTTCACTTTATATTGTTACATAGTCATGATTTTTAATGATAAAACACCCATCCAATGTTTATGCCATGATTTACTTAATATTTTGGTTAGTTTAAGTTCTATTATAAATAATTCGGTCATGAAAATTAAATGCACATGATTTTCCATACCTTGAATTTTCTCTGGCAGTGCAATGAGTACATTCGTTTCTGGGTGAATGCAAATGGCCAACCTGTAGGTTACTTTTCAAGCACTTAATTATTTGCACCACCCAACGGACTTCCATTCTTAGTACAGAAATCATAAAATCACATAGTGAGGTAAAAGATTAGTATAAGATTTATGAGGAAAATTTGAACTCCATAGACTCTTATAACTTAAAGAATTTTTAGTTCAGTGATTTTTGGAGTTTTCGATTTTGCAGAACAGAAGAAAACAAAATTAATGGAAGGACGAAAGAAGAGGCAGGGTGATTTTTATTTTATTTCTTATTTTTGCAATTCTTTCCTATTTCTACAGGTAATGCATTATATATAGAATACCTATCAGTGCTTGGCTCTGAACCCAAAGGTCATCGTAGATTAGGAGTAGTAGCAAGTAGGAATCACTTGCTAATACATACCTTTCATTTTGGAGCAGGAAATGCCTCTTTGATAGCTGTATCAAACCAACGTGGGAGAAAGATGAGGCTTTCTACTCTGGTCAAGAGTTACAGTCTCGGACACCCACAGGGGCAGTTCCACTCTGGCCTTTTTGGGTCACTCTGAGTGAGAATTGATGCCAGGGCAGTGAGGTTTGGTTTTCTGGGTTTTTAAAAGTCAGCCTACAGATCATTGCCATCAAGTCCATTTCCACTCATTGGAACCCTACAGGACAGGGTAGAGCTGCCGCTTTGGGGTTTCCAGATGGAACATGTTTGAGGGAGAAATCCGATGGGGATTTCTGCTGGTGGGGTCAAACTACTGCCCTTACAGTTAGCAGTCCAATACATAACCTATGTTGCCATCAAGGCACCTTCTCGAAATCATTAGGTCTTAAGAGAAGGCCTAAATGAGGTGGATGAAATGAACTCAGATGGCTGCTTACAGTCACGCATCCGAGAATCAGTCTTACTTTCTAGCTCAGGGAGTTCTCTCTCTGGAAGTATACCGATTTTAGGAATTTGAGATTTTTTTTTCTCCATTCTCTCTAATAGGTGAGTGAGTGCAAGAATGAATTAGCAAGAGCTAATTCTTCATTAGCTACCCACTAAATTAATATAAACTGCTAAGATGGTTTAAAGGGGGGATGTAGCAACCACTGCTTTTAGAATCAAGTCCCCACATTAGGTTGCTTGGCTTATGGTTTGTGGATCCTTGTAACAAGAGACTGCCGTTCAGTGCAAAATGCTTATGTTGTTGCCGCAGATACGGCAAACAGGCCTCAGCAAGCCATTTTGAAGACAGCACCGGGCCCATTTGGCTGGATGATGTCCGCTGCTCGGGAAAGGAGACCAGTGTCCTTCAGTGCTCCAGGAGACAGTGGGGAGCACACGACTGCAGCCACCGGGAAGATGTTGGCATCGCCTGCTACCCGGCCGGCCAGGGACACAGACTTTCTCAGGGTGAGGACCCAGCCACACTTCTCCAGCATCTGTCACCGATCAGCCGCTGTGCGTCCAGTGTGGTCTGAAGTGTAAAATGTTTCTCTTTTGACCTCTTTTTACAGCACATTTGCTGAAATTCTCGATTTTTAAGTTTGAACTGCTGAGAAAAGTAACCTTTTGAAGCTGCCGACCAGTCTTATGAATTTTTGTCCCTTCCTCTTTTTCCTTACCTAGGAGCCCGAGTTCCTCCCCCAGATGTTTGTAATTGCGTATATCTCCAAGGGGAAATAAAGAAGCTGTTGTGTCTATACCCTTATCTCGTAGTTATCTGATCTACCGTTGACTTGAATGAGCTGGAGGAACAATGTTAAAGTATTAAGAAAGAGAGAATAACCACCCCTAGTCTCCCATTCATTTCTTCATTAGTCTGGGGGTTCCTGGGTCTTTCCTGTTGCCTCTTAGTAGGTCCCAGCTCATAGTGGGAGAATAGAATTGGCCCATAGAGTTTCCAACACTGCCATCTTGGTAGCTGCAGACCCTCGGAGTGTGCTCCTAAACTAACCTTCCATTGGAATTAATAGTCTACTCAGCTTGATAAAATATTCTAGAAATTCCTCAGGGATTTTTGCTATTCCGCAGTTCCCAAACCCTTCAGAATTACAGACTGAGGAAAAGTCTGTAATTCCTCCAACAACCCTGAGCGTTTTACAGATGGAGACCCCCACCTCCCGGCCCCCGTGAGCAGAGAGCATCATTGGCATTCTCAACAAACCTGACAATCTTTCACATCTGACAAGGAGGGCAGAAGGAACTAACCATGAACCGTATGGAATGACATGCGCAGAGTATTTGCCGGGATGATGCTACCATAGTTCCCTTTTATGTCGGCACACTTATTTTTGTGAATGAATGAAGTTGAGCTACAATAACCACAGGTGCCCTGTCCTTTTCTCCTCATGGTAGTAACAATTCCCTTCTTTTTTCATAATTTATTTAAGTTGCTGTTGTTTAAAACATACACAGCAGAACTTAGGCCAATCCAGCAGTTTCTTCCTCTGCAATTGAGTGGCATAGATTACTTTCAAGTTGTGTGACCATTTTCACCATCCTATTTTTCAAATTGCTCGTTCCCTATTAAGCTCACCAGCCCCTCCGCTTCCTATCTAACCTTTCTAGTTGCCATTGTCAATTGCTCAAACCCCTCTTGTATCCTTCTGTTTTGAGACTGTGAACTACAAATCTTCTGGGTTCTAAAAATAGAAAAACCATTTGATCCCCTTTTTGAATATTCCAAACATGAAATGATTGATTCCTCATTACAGTGTAAACTGTAGGTCATGGTAACTCACTGAAACTAATGATACCAAGCAGAAATACATTTTAAACTATCTCTTGGAGACCACATTTCTAGTTTTCTTTCTTTTAATTCCCCCCACCCTTCTTCCTTACCCACTTCTTCTTATTGAGAATTTACAATGAATGGCTGGGGGAGATAGAACCTCTTTACTAAAAACGAGCCCTCTCAGCCTCAGGTAGGTAGCATGTGTTTGGCTCAGGTCTGTTCTCTTCAGGTTTGCTTCCTCTGGAACATAGATGACAACATACTGTGTGATTTGAGTTCTCTGACAGCCTGAGGTTAAATATATCCATATGGTGAGGACAGCTCATCTTTTCAGTTCCCCTGAAAGTCTTTTTAATTCTACATTCTGGATGTATGTTTTAAATATTCAAAAGTGGATGGTAATAATTATTAATAAAATATGTCATCATTATTACAAACCTCATCGGTTCTAATCTCAGTAATGTGTCTATTAACTAAAATCATTTGTCTGAAGAACATTCTGTCTGAGCCAAATATTCTTTTGACACAGAATCATATTACTATTTCTTTAACGCAGAAAAATCATTGTTGCCTTGCTTATTAGACAGTATTACATATTTAAAACGAAGCTTAGATAAGGTCCTAGAATAGTGACATGAACAACATTTTTGGAGAAACAGAAGAGATTTGTTTGTACTTCTTTGGCAGTACAATAATAACCTACTAGACTACTACTATTTTCAGTTATTTGAAGTGTAAATTCTGGATCTTTAAAGGTATGTGAAACTATTTTTAAGATGAGTTGAAGTTCAAATGACATTTTTTAATTTTGGAAATTTGGTAGGTGGAGTATTCAAGAACAACTGTCTAGATCAGCAAAACGAATCCTAGTAAGAACACAATTAATGTCTATATAAATGTGTGGGCTATTTCTGGGGTGGTAAACTTGTGGATTTCTCATTTTAATACTGCATAGAGTGTAGCAGTCCAAATATTATGTCCCATCAAGTATTTCTTTAAAATGAGCTTGCCTCTTAATTCTTTAGTACAGTGTTAGAATTTTAACTCAGCTGAATGCTATCCTTCACCTTTTGTCTGGAGCCCTGGTGGCATGGTGGGTTATGAGTTGGAATGCTAACCAAACTGTCAGCAGTTTGAACCCACCAGCTCCTCCATGGGAGAGGGATGAGGCTTTTTGCTCCCATAAAGGTTTGACAGTCTTGGGATCCCACAGGGGCAGTTCTATTCTGTCTTATAGGGTCAGGATGAGTCAGAATATGTTTTCTAATTTTGATATAGTCAATCATGGTTAGAGAAAAAATGAAAATATAACTCTCATAAACAGTTTGGGATATAAAATTAAATATGTTGTATACTTGTTTAGTTTTCCCAAACATTTTTGAGTTATCAAATTTTACTTTTATTACTCAAATGAGGAAAGTATTATATTAAAAAAGAAGAAGAATCCTAAGTATTAGTACATTCTAATTTTCCAGATTTAATTTCATGACTACAAGCATTTAAACTCTATGCGCCTTGAAAGAAGACCCGGTGTACAACAGAATGAAACACGACCTGGTCATACACCGTCCTCATATTCATTGTTATGTTTGAACTCATTGTCGCAGCCACGGTGCCATTCTATATTGCTGAGGCTCTTCCTCTTTTTAGCTGTCTTTACCAAGCCTGACGTCCTTTCTCAGGGACTGGCCCCTCCTGGTATCATGTCCAAAGTACACGAGACAAAGTCCAATCACCTTTGCTTCTAGGGAGCCTTCTGTGTATATTTCTTCCAAGATAGAATACAGTACTTCCCTGTTTTGGAAATTGATGATATATTTAATGTATTTGGCAACACTATAAGCCAAAGTCATTAATTCTCCCATTTTCTTTATTCGTTGTCATAAGCATTAGGCTCATTCAAAAAAAGCAAACCAAACTCGCATCCATTGAGTCAGTGCTGACTCATAGTGATGGCCTGTGGGTTTCTGAGACGGTAACTGTTTATGGGAGTAGAAAGCCCAGTCTTTCTCTTTTAGAGCTGTTGGTGGTCTCAAACTGCTGACCATGTGGATCGAAGCCCAACTCTTAATCACTACACCACCAGGGCTCTTCAGGCTCTTTCGGGTTACTCATTTATGTCAAGGATGTATCTATCTGTTCCTCCCTAAAAATTTGAGCTTTAGAGTACACATTTCTAGCCATGTTCATAGATGAAACAAAAACAACACCAATCTAATGTCCTTTTTAAAATGTCCTTTTGTTATTCAATTTTATTATCATTTAATGTCCTTTTATTATTTAGAAGTTAGTGGTAGTAAAATAATTCACAATTATATGTGGGTTTATCTTGGGTTGCTGAAGGAAGGAGCAGCAGTTTGAATCCACCAGCCGCTCTGAGAAAGAAAGGTGAAGTTGTTTTCTCCTGCAAAAATGTACCTTCTCAGGAGTTCTGTGAGCAGGTCTACTCTGCCCTAGAGGGTTGCGAGGAGACCGTAAGTTTTATTCATTCTTTAGTTCCAACATTCACAGCTATTGCACACGCTCTGTCTGCTAGACATGTTTCCAAGTGTTGGAGACACCGAGATGAACAAGATGCGTTCCTTTGACCTTAAGACTGCAAAACATATTGAAACGGTTCTTTGTTGACATCTTTTTTTCTCTCTCAAAATTTACTCCGGAGTATGACCGCTGGCTCAATTGGCCTGTCCTTAAACCATTATAAATGTTTTACCTGGCAGACCTCAAGGAGAAAGCTAGCCACTTTCCCCAACTAGGCTTGAGTCAGTGCACTGCAATCACTGATGGACATTTCAGTCAAGCACACCCCTTCCCACCTCCGTCCTCAGTAGACATGCCATTTTTCACATCTGTGTTCCCAGACA